CAACAACAAAAAATACACAGAACACCGTCTGCCCTCAACACACACACACACATACACATATGGGATCCCACAAGCACACGCCACACAACTACAATATTTGAAGCACAAAATCCAGACAATCATTACTCCTACTACGCAGTCCCACGTACAGAACATGGCACAAGGACCCTGTGGAGACTAACAGGAAACCAGCTCCGAGAAGCATCATTGCAGTGCGAGGTGGCAGGCTCAACCTTAGCGGGTGTCCCCGCAGAGGCTCTGCCTCCCCCACATCATATGAGGCTTGGGCTTTTATACTGACCAAAATGCACACTCATTCTGACACAGGTGGCCAGCCTATGTTGGAAGAAGTGGCCAGCAGTATCTATAAAGGTCTCCAAAGGTTGACAGAAACCTGGACCTACCAGGTCTTACCATATTTACCAACTTCTAGTACACGAGTATCACAGAGAAACTGTATTAAATGCGTTGTATATGGGGTCCCAAGTCCATGGTCTGTCACAGTATGCCCAATACCCCTGATAACAGTATAAGAGAGACCTTCCCACTGCCAGAAAATCACACAATACATCTGTATCCTGTGCTGATCTTGCTTCCCTGGAGGTTTGGGGGAGGGGGGCATGGGGGTGGGTGGTGGTTTTTTGTTTGTTTTGTTTGTTTGTTTGTTTATTTAACGTAAACAAGGTTGCTCCCTTCACTTTAAGAAGGACTGAAAACATCCATAAAATGGATGTCCTGAGCTCAAATTTCAATTCATTCAATCAATGACAAGGGAGGTGTCCTGGGGCGATGCTGACTCTTTCCAGGGTTTCACCCATCGAGCTGACACCCACCGCAAACCAGAATCTGTAATTTACACACATATAACCTCAACCAGTTAGTTTTACTTCCACAGGACCTTTCCAAATGCTGGTTTCCAAATCCTTGTACTGGACAAGAATACCCAGAGTTTTAGTTATACAACCTGAACCTAATGCCTGACCATGTATTATAGCAGGGGAGTCATTAAAGTCTCCTGTCAATCGCAAAAAAAAATCATAACATATACAGCTTGAGTATAAGAGGATTTTAACCCATATGTAGTCACCGCCTGTCAGGCCTCCTTAACTATTTTGAGATCAAAAGGTTCCCACTCTTTATGCCCCTGCTCTGTAGTAAACACGGATATGCAGAGAGGCCCATTGCAGAAAATTCACCAGTAATAATCACATCTTTGATTAAGCTGTGCTAACGGTGTGCAGGATTTGTGCCCCCCAATACCTCTCCCACCCCCTCCCCTGGTTGCCTTCTTTAAGGAAGGGGTTTTGCGGAGGATAAGGTGGTGGCACAGATAGAGATGTGTCAATCCGAGTCTCGAGGGCTTCAAGCTTTTTCATCAATTGTTGCAGCTGAGCATCTCCAAGGCCAGTGAGTAGTTGCTGATGAGCCGAGCAGACCGACCTGGAAGATGACGAGTCAGAGTCTGGAAGCAGAGGATATAAATCTGGCTCGGATTCAGGGGACTCGGAGTCTGATCCTGGGTCGAACTCAGGGTCTCCGTTGTTCGCAGCGATGTCTTTCTTGTCAGGTGTCTCTCGTTCGGTATGTGGCCGTCTGCGGACCTGGCTCTTGTTTTCATCGGCTCGGGGCATTGATTTTTTCGGCACAGTTCCAGGTACCACAGGAGATGCAAAAGTCATAGCCGCAGCACTATGATGGGGGTTAAGGGAGACAGCCCCTTCTGGAGCTGTAGCAGCAAATACAGAAGCTACCACCGCACTTTCCAATTTCATCTCTTTCAAAGTCTCTAACACCAATCTCCAAAGTGTAGAGTGTTTCTGTGCACCTTTGGTCCCTTTACTAACCTTGCGATCACGGGACCACTTTAACAGCCTCTGTAAGGCGGCACTATCATATTGCAGTCCTCTCTTAGAGAGAATGTGTTGGAGAAGCTTCACCACCGCCTGTTCCTCTTTGGATAACAAGTGCCCCATCTCCTCCCTAGCTGCTCACTTGATCAGGGCGAGATTCCCGAAGTTTTGCAGACGTCTGACTTCCCAGCGCTGGGGTAACGCTGACTTTCGGCCTGCTCTCCGCCCCCTCCTTTTCATCGGACCTTCAAACTCGTCTTCGTCGAGTTACCGATCAGAGAGTCCCTGTTCGGGCGCCACTTGTTGGTGCGGGAGTCACGGACAATGCAGAGACGATCAATGTGATCAAGCGGTTGCCAAATTTATTACAAAGCCTTAACTCCTTATATACTATTTCTTACATGCACTTACAGTGATTTGGCATATTATGATTGGATACATGTCTTGAAGACCCTTAGTGACTAACATATAATTGGTTAAGCACAGGTGTGAGAACTTGACCTCGAAAGCTTGCCAACAGTCCACAGTTCTCATTACCTCAGTGAATTCCAGCTTCTTCTTATCTTGCTTGCTTAAGCTTCTTTGGGCATCTCATGGCCTTGCTGTATCTTTCAGTATTATTCAGATTTTATGTACCAATTATGCGTTCTCCTGTGAGAGCACTGTCTCCACATTCTTCCATGGCAGTCATACCTTTTTCTTTTCTAGGTAGGAATATGGGGGACCAGAAGGAATCTTTAATGTCTTTAAATCCACTTATGTGACAGGTAAGGGAAGAAATCACTGGCAAAAACGTAATCTGCTTTTTAATATAAGCAGTTTTGTACTTTCTACACCTAGCAGTGGGTTATTTTCACCTCCATCATTCAGAAACTGTCTTTTCATTTCCAGTATAAATGTTTTGCAAACAAGTGTATACTGATACATCCTTGTATCAATATGGTTTATTATCATAAATAGGAATTCTTTGTCACTAGAGCTTATCCTATGCATATTTAAAGACATCCATTATATCCCTTTTCAAATTTGAAATTGCTAAACTAAGCACATTAAGATGATTTGATCTCTACTACAATATTTTCCATTCTTCCAGTCAGAAGTGTATTCGTCCTCTGGACCTAAACCAGTTCAAATTAATTTTTATAACAAACTGTGGTGTATTGAATCTGGCTGGATGTCAGGTGCCTACTAAAGTCACTTTACCACTCCCCTTCTCAAATGGACAGGGGAGAGAAAATACAATGAAAGGCTCACAAGTCAAGATAAAGACAGAGAAAGATCACACACCAGTTACCACCACAGGCAAAACAGACTAGACTAGGGGAAATTAGTTTAATTTATTAAATAACCCTAAATCTTAAAAACACCTTCTCTTCACCCCTCCCTTCTTCCCAGGCTCAACTTCACTCCTGACTTCTCTGGCTCCTCCCCGGAGCAGCACAGGGGGACGGGAAATAGGGGTTGTGGTCAGGTCATCACATGTTGTCTCTGAGTCTCCCTCCTCCTTAGGGAAAGGACTCCTCAAACTCTTCCCCCACCCCAGGGTGGGGGTCCTCCCACAGGAAACACTCCACTTCTTCAAATTGAATCCTTTCCAGAGGCTGCAGTTCTTCACAAACTGCTCCAATGTGGGTCCCTTCCATAGGCTTCCCACAGCCTCCTTTGAGCATCCCCCTGCTCCACGGTGGGGTCCTCCCTGGGCTGCAGATGGGTGTCTGCTCCAATGTGGGCACCATTTGCTGCAGGGGCACAGCCTGTCTCACCATGGTCTGTACCACAGGCTGCAGGGGAATCTCTGTTCTGACACCTGGAGCATAGAATCACAGCATCATAGAATAGTTAGGGTTGGCTGCGGCACAGCAGGCACTGAGGCTGTTTCTCCTGTCTTTTGGCAGCTCCCGAGTAGTGAAGGAACTCTGGGTCAGCACTCTCCTTGGGTAAGCCCTGCCTGGCACTGCAGCCTGGGCTGCCCATGCTCCCATCAAGGGGGGATGCTCCATGAGTGGCATCCTAATGATGATGAAACGCCTTTGTTGAGCTGGGCAGAGGTGTCCCAGATCTGCAGGCGGAAGTGCCCCCACTGCTGAGCAGGCACATCTGGTGAATCTGCATCCTCCAGCTGTGTCCAGCCAACACCTGCCCGGCCACATCTTCTCCACTCCCGCTGCTCCCGCTCCACTGCTGGGTGGCACCGGCTGTTCCTGGCAGTGTGGAAGCACTCCCCAGGCTGTCAGCAGAGGGAAGAGCTGGCTTGGGTCTCACACAGCTCTTTCTCTCCCCCTTCCCTGTGCACAGACCACCCGAAGGAGTTCAGGGAGCCCGGGTGACCCAGCTGCCGTCCATCAGGATGGTGATGAAGGAGCTGAGTGGCCGCCATGCTGTGAGTGTCCCTTCTGCCTCTGCTCTGTCCCCAGGGGCTGCCACAACCCAGCATCAGCTGCATTGCTCCTCACCTTCTGCTCTTTTCCCCTTGCCCAGGGGACGACACTGGATGCCAGCAGCGTGGAGAAGCTGCTCCAGCGCCAGGCCCAGGTCAGGGTCCCTTGCAGTGTAATCTCACCCATTCCCACCTCTCACACACAGCCAGCAGCTGATGCAGCTGTCCAGGGGCCCTTTCTGCTGTGGGCTCCTTGGTGAGTGCAGCCCGTTTCTTGCAGGCTGGTTCCAAGCAGCTGCCAGTTCCTGTGCCCTCTGGCATTGAAGGCAGACGTGGCCATGTGGATGGTGAGTGTGGAGAAGAGAGGGGCAGGATGGCCCTTCTCTCTTGCTCTTGCAGGTGGGCACGCGTGCTGCAGTGGGGCTGCCGCTGCCCTTCCCGCAGGGCACATCCATCCCCATCACTCTGCAGCAGGAGAGAGCTGAGCCCCAGGGCCACTAGGTCCAAAATGATACCGCCTCTTCTGTACCCTCGGTGGCAGGGGGACAGCACGGAAGGGGTCTGGGAGCGCTCTCCTGGTGCTTCTGCTCCACAGCTCTTTGCTCTGTTTCCCTTGGCAGCAGGCGGGACCTGCAGGAGCAGGAGGAGGCTGTCCTGGCCATTTGCACAACCAGGGACCTTGGCTGTGGCAGAGGCACCGGGGCCATCAGGCTCTGCTGGTGTAGGAGCTCTCTTTGGCCAGCCCCTGGCAGATCTGTGCAGCCAGGATGGCAGCAGGAGAGGCTGGCAGCACTGAAAGAGTAAGTGTTGCAGCAGCCAGCAGGGTCTGGCACAGGCTGGGACTCCAACACAAAGCAGTGGCCTGCCTGAAATAGCCATGGCTCCTGCAAACCACCTCCTGCTGCTGTGGACTTTATGTTTGGGGGAAAGAGGCACTGAAAAGCTTTTTTCTCCAGGGAGCACTTCCCATAGGCATTAGGGCTTGTTCCAACAAGGGCCTCTTTCAGAAGAGCAGGGAGGGAGGGAGGTGGCCACATCTCAGCTGTTGCAGAATGACTCTAAGAGCAGGACCATAGAGCCCTGGAGGACTGTGCGAGCAAGGCAGGGGGTGGCCCCCACAGGTAACTGGAAACCGGACATGGGAGGAGAATGTGGAGGAAGCTGTGTGGGGCTAACCAATACTGTTGTGCCAAGGAGGAGTGGCTGAATACCACTCCTATATAAATGCGAACTGCATCACAAATAAAGGAGAAGTTTGCTTATCACCCCTATTGGGTTGGCCTGTCTGCTTCTCCTTGCTGCTTACACTCAGCAAAGGCAGAACCTCTGCTTTAGAGTGGTCAGTGGCCTTGGGTGAGATCAGCCTGGAAGACCTGTGTTGTCAACACCGACTTCATTAACTCCTGTTCCCTCAGGGTGGCCAGCAAACTACCAGAGGCCAATCTCCTCCTGCTCTGGCGCTTGCGGTCACTGCTTAGCAGCATCAGCAAGAATGTGGCCACAGCAAAGATGACTGCTGGGAACCTGGCCATGTGCCTGGCACCAAACCTGCTGAGCCCACCCCAGGAGCTGCCCCTGGATATCCTGGCTCTGGAAACAGAGAAGGTATGCTGTGTTCACCACCCAACTACAGCACTCCCAGCCCAGCCAGGTTTTGCTGCTCAAAGGGTCCTGGCTGCCTCCTCCCATCAGTAAAGCCATGGGTCAGCAGCTGGAAGAGCAGCCCCATGGCTGCACCTTCCTGCACAGAAGCACAGGTCAGGCTGGGAAAGACTGTTTGAGCCCTCATCAGCCTCCTCAGCGAAACCAGTGGTTTGCTGCGTGCAGGTGATGAAGCTTGTCGAGTTCCTCATCGACCAGCAGGAGGAATTCATGGGAGAGCAGGTGGCCAGGCTGGCCAGACAGGGGGATGAGGAGGCACAAGCAGCGCAAACAGAGCTGGAAACAGCAGAGGTAAGTGAATATCAGTCAATATCATTTAGAACTAGCTGTTCTCCATTTTGCAGAAAAGACTGTATTTCTTCACTTTTGATGTGGGAGAATATGAAGCAGATTCTTTGCCTCATTTACCAAGAGCAAGCTCTACCATTACCAGCACAGAATATGAAATTTGGGTATATAACAGAATGAAATGTTAACATTAAGGCCTCTATTGTGGCTTAGATAGCATTGTAGCAACTCTTGCTTCTGGGATATAATTTGTACTTTGTAGATGTATGAATGCAAAATGTCTTTTTTTCCATTTTCTAAGGTAAGTGTTAGCTGTTTCCACCAGCAACATTTAATTTTGTATTTGTTAAGAACTACAAGGAGTATTAGGTAAATGCTCCTATGCTTAAATTCTGTACACTATATAGAAAGCTATATTTTCACCCAAAATATTACAGAGCACGAAAACAATGTAGAATAGAGTATTTCTATTTGACATTGACTTTTTAAAATATAATATGCTTTCTATCATAATAGTATGAAAAAGAAAAAAGAAGTTACAAATTTTAGTAGAACAAGGTATGTGTGTACACTCACAAAATTATGCAATACAGAGATCTGAGTGAAAATTAATTACATTTGCACAGGTTTCAGATGCACCGAATATTGAGAATTTAAAAAATGTATATATATCTCAAGATTTTTTGTGCCACTTTTTTCATGATGAGTTTGGTGAGGCACTGGACAAGGTTTCCCAGAGAATTTCTCAAGGCCAGGCCTGATGGCACTTTGAGCGCCCTGGTCTAGTGAAAGGTGTCCCTGCCCATGGCACTGAGTTAGAACTAGGTGATTTTTAAGGTCCCTTCCAACCCAAAGCAGTGATTCTATGATTCTACTATTAGGATTGGAATTTTTGAAGTTTATCCATGTAGTAATTCTGCCTTTTCTAAAATCATCATTAAACCCTTGACTTTAATAGGAATAAAATACAGAATTCCACATGAAGCCTATTGGACTGGGCCACACTTTGGACAAAGCAAGTGCCCTGTTCCTCTGGGTTTGCAGTGAGGATGTGATCAGGTCTCGAGAGGAAAAGACAATGATCTTCCTTAGTAAAGAAAGACATGATAGGTCACTGTGTCATGTAGTTATGTTCTTGCATCTATTCTACCCTAAATTAATCTGTGACAATTTTCAGGAACGGTTCACATGGAATTATGGCGAATTAAATTATTTCCATGCTATGTTTCTACACTTTTCCAGTCAATGAAAAATATCTTCATTGCAGTCTTCCAATCTATCTCACTGCTATATATAAAGCCAACAGAGCTCTGAAATGTCCCTTTAACTGATTTGAACAACTTTTTAATTGAGAATGTTTTGAATTTTATTTTTTGGGGGGTTGAGGGGTTTTAGTCCTGCAAAATTCAGTGGAGCTATTTGAATGAAAAATGTTGCAAGGCCAACAGTTCCAGTCAAAATAAAATGCTTCAATTTTTAAAGCTAAATATTTGAACAAATTTTTAGTATTTCATTTTTATTATACTGTATTGTGATTTTGTATTTATTACATAGTTTCATTATTTTGAATTGTTAGACAAAAGTATGTAGGCTTTTGTGACTGTAAAGGAAATAATCACACTTTTGGGTAATGAAGTAATTTAAGGTTTTTTTCTGGTTTGGTTTTTTCTAACAAATGAAAGTCTACAGGATGCCTTTCCTATTACAGGGCTGTTTTTTCAATGTTCTTTTGAATGACAGCTATGAATATATCTGCTGTTAGTAATCTTGTACCATAATCACAATAGTTTATTGCCCTCAATTTATTACTTTCAAAGCAATTCATAGTCTCTACTTTTTTAGATAATTTTTGTCCTTGTTTACTTCCTTCCTTCCTTCATTTGCCTACTTGGTTACTTGCTTGCTCATACTGGGAAGCCAAGATCTGGACTCGGCACTTCAGCTGTGTTATTACTACTGCTGAGTAGAGGGCAAGATCACCTCCCTTGGCCTGCTGGAAACACACTACCTAATGCAGACGAGGATGCTCTCAATCTAGTTTAATAGTTATTAAGTGAAGTTCCATAATTTGTTTAATGTATGTTTTTTGATGATATTTGCTATTCTGCATGCTAACTTTGCCATGATACTTACCTAAAAAGGGTATCTTTTGTTTGAACAATCACTCACTTATGTAGTCAACACAAACAACAGGGCTGTCCCAGATGTCCAGGGGGTTATCATGGAAGGAAATAGAATATACAAAAGACACAGTATCATACCAGGAACAAAAAGTTTCTTGTTTAGAGTTGAGAGAGAGGAAAAAAAAAAAAAAAAGCACAGTTCTACCAAATTGCATTTCATTTACTAATAACTTAAAAGAAAATATATCAGTTGGTGAAATATGAGAAAGTTCTGTTATACAGCAAGGACCCAACAACCCTGATCAGTAGTTTCCTCATTAGTATGACCAAAAATATCCTTGATGTCAAGAGAAGGAAGAACACACCCTATTAAACCTGAACTGGGGTTATTATTTGTAGTTCTAAACAGCCTGTGTTAAAAAAGAAACAGTGTTGATTCCTGTTGATTTGCACATCATCTTCTCTTTTCAAAATGTGGTGGGCAGCCCCCAGAAGCTCCCAACATACAGCTCCTGCTGTAGCATTTCAGGTTATTCTATAATCACCTTGAGAGAAGATTCAGCAAATGCCTTAAATCTCATCATACCATGTTTATTCAGTCAGCTTTCCCTTTATATGCCTGAAATTATTTTCTTTGAAGGCATGACAATGGCTTGATAGTAAATTCAGTTCACTGATTTTAGGATGACAGCTGAATGCAAGTTGTCACCTGCTGGCCATGACAGTCTGAATTTGCCTTACAAACTAACCCTGAATATCTGGGTGAAATAACTGTCTTCCTGTAGGATGAATATTTATGGACCTTAGCATCACCTTTCACAGAGTCTTTAATGTCTACAGAGCATGGGAGTACATGCCAAACCAGAGAATCTTTAGGAGTCAAGACCTAGCAGTTATCCTTCAGAGGTAACTTTACCTATCCCTGGGTGAAACATGAAATATTATTTAAGCAACTAAGCATTATAACTCAGTAATATGATCTTGAAAGCATAAAAACGTTTAATACACCTATCTCAACCTTAAACTTACAGGTGAAGTACTGGACATAGAACTAATAGTTTATAATCCAGTGAATTTTGATGTCTTCATATTCCATCCTGAAGGAATAGAGAAGCCACTCAGCCACTGTGTCTCCTCAGAGATATCTACTCATAATCTTATATGAGGAAACCACTCAGCTATCACTTGCCCAATACTTTGAAAGAGCAAAGGTAAGCAGCTTCATTTCCTAGGTCAGGCTGTTGATATGACAATATCTTGACTGGTCTTCTTCTTTCAAGTCATGCTGTTTAGACATCATAGGCAATCTTGCCTAAGCTAAAAATGTGAAAAATTAAAGAGAACAAGAAAATGAACGTTTAAGGAGACTATCACTCCCTCATCAGACGGAAACCCACACTGCCAGGTGGAAAGCTATGTCTAACCAAGAAAGAGCATGTAAAGCTGACACTCATTACTCATTCTTGACTACTTTCTCTGACTTTCTGTTTTGACTTGGTTTCTGTTATGACAGCAGGTACTGGGCTGCTGTTGGAGACTCCAATTTTCCAATAACTGGATATGTACATATCCTGGATATATGTACATATCAGTTATTGATCCATACTGTGAAGTGTAATAAAGAAAAGAAGAAAGAGAAAAAAGAAGAACAATAATAATTAAAAAAGCGCAACTAATAAAAAAAAAACCCACAACAAACAAAAGCCTCTCCTTGTGCAAAAGAGGTAATAACTTTTGCAAGAACAATCTAATTGGCGCAAAGACAGAATATGCTCCCTGTTTCTTTTCCTCAGCAGTGCACACCTGACTTTTTTTCTTGCTCTTCTGTGGCCAAACACATTTAAAGCTTCAAGTACTGGCTATTTACAAACTTTCTAAGTAAAAGGCTAGAAATACTATGAAATTCAAGCTGGGTTTCAGATTATATGTCTTCAAGGTTCAGTGCAAACATTCTGCATAACTTGAGGTGCAATTTTCTACAGGTGCCTAAGCAGAAAATAACTTTATAAAGCTGTAATAAGAACAAAATAGTTATGGTTATATTAAAGTAGAAGTTTTAAACAACTCTTCTACAAGCCTGTTTGGTCTGAAGTGTAACATGAAATATGATTTTTGATGTGAGAAAACTGTTAAGAGTTCATAACCAAGCAACTACTACAGCAGGCAGGTAGGAGCCTTTAGGCTTACTGATTTACTTATTAGATGTGTCCCTACTAAAAATAGATGTGTCTTGATTCTAGTTTGATCAGCCAGGAGGTTAGATTTTAAAGCTTTGAATTGGAACAAAATAATACATAAATAGATGGTGTGCTGTATAGAATCTTCATACCAGTTTATAAGAAATAAGGAGGAGAACAAGGCTGAAACTTCCAAGTATTGTGGAGTAAATGTACGTATTTCAGGATGTTACTTGTTATATGATAGAACTAATATTAGTAATTTTTGTGTTGTTCCTTCAATAATATTGTAATTTTTCTTGGTAACTTTAAATATGTGCATTATATGCTGCACTTTTCCTATTTAATACTGAAACAATGAGTAAAGACCTATTAATGTAATTAGAAATAATCGAAAACAACATTTTACTGTGCTTACTATGTCTGTAAATAAACACATAATTTTAGTCCAGTGCAGGAGGACCAAACAAAGACTACAATTGATATGCATAAAAATTCCCTTTCTCTTTTCCTTTCCCTTTCATTCTTTCTTTTTTTTTTTTTCCAAAGTATCCATATTCAAGTATGTGATTATTATTAAGAAGCAATCCTGGCACTGTCATATGTTACACTTGCTGCACTTTAAACTTAGACAACTTCCTTTTCTCAGTGATATGGAATGTTTG